GAAGAAGTGAAGGTGGGAGTAATATAAGTAAGCAAGAGGGAAGAAAGCAAGGAAGAAATGAAGCGAGAAAAGAAGGACACGAGGAAAGAATGAAGGAAACGAGGAAACAAGGGAGGAAGTGAGGAAGGAAGGAAGGAAGGAAGGAGGGAAGTGAGGAAGGAAGGAAGCGATGAAGCAAGGAAAGAAGGAAGCGAGGAAGTAAGGAAGGAATGGAGCAAGAAAGGAAGGACGCGAGGAAAAAAATGAAAGAAGCGAGGAAACAAGGAATGAGGAAAGAAGGAAGCGAGGAAGGATGGAAGCAAGGAAGGAGGGAAGTGAGGAAGGAAGGAAGCGATGAAGCAAGGAAAGATGGAAGCGAGGAAGCAAGAAAGGAATGGAGCGAGAAAGAAAGGACGCGAGGAAAAAAACGAAAGAAGCGAGGAAGCAAGGAATGAGGAAAGAAGGAAGCGAGGAAGGATGGAAGCAAGGAAGGAGGGAAGTGAGGAAGGAAGGAAGCGAGGAAGCAAGGAAAGAAGGAAGCGAGGAAGCAAAGAAGAAAGCGAGGAAGCAAAGTAGGAAGTGAGGAAGGAAAGATTGCGAGGAAGGAAGGACGCGAGGAAGCAAAGAAGAAAGGGAGCAAGGAAACGGGAAAGCGAGGAAGGAAGAAAGTGAGGAAGCAAGGAAGGAAGGGACTGAGGAAGACAGAAAGGAACGAAGCGAGGAAACAAGGAAGGAACGATGCGAGGAAGCAAGGAAGGAAGCAACTGAGGAAGCAAGGAAGGAAGCAAGGAAGGGAACGAGGAAAAAAGGAAGCCAGGAAGCAAAGAAGGAAGGAAACGATGAATCAAGGAAGGAAGGAAGCAAGCAAAGACGCAAGAAAGGAAGGAAGGAAAAAAGCAAGGAAGGAAGGAAGTAAGGAAAGAAGGAAGAAGGCGAGAAAGCAAGGAAGCAAAGAGGGAAGGAAACAAGGAAGGAATGAAGCGACAAAAGAACAACGCGAGGAAAGAATGAAGGAAACGAGGAAGCAAGGAAGGAGGAAAGAAGGAAGTGAGGAAGGGAGTAAGCAAGGAAGGGAGGATGCAAGTGAAGAAGGAAGGAATCGAGGAAGCAAGGAAAGAAGAAAGCGAGGAAGCAAGGAAGGGGGAGAGGAGGAAGCGAGGGAGAAAGCGAGGAAGGAAGCCAGGAATGAAGTAAATAAGGAAGGACGCGAGGAAAAAACGAAGGAATCGAGGATGCAAGGAAGGAGGAAAAAAGGAAGCGAGGAAGGAAGGAAGGAAGGAAGCAAGGAATGAAGGAGGGAAGTGAGGAAGGAAGGAAGCGAGGAAGGAAGGAAAGAAGGAAGCGAGGAAGAAAGCAAGCGAGGAAGCATGTAAGGAAGGAAGAAGCAAGGAAGGAAGGAGGAAAGGAAGTGAGGAAGAAATTTATGAAGAAAGCGAGGAAACAAAGAAGGAGGAAAGAAGGGAGCGAGGAAGGAAAAAAGCATGGAAGGAAAGAGGGAAGCGAGGAAGGAAGGAAGCGAGGAAGCAAGGAAGGAAGGAAGCGAGGAAGCAAGGTAGAAAGGAAGCGAGGAAGGAAAGATGTGAGGACGGAAGGATGCGAGGAAGCAAGGAAGGAAGGAAGCAAGAAAAGAAGAGGCGAGGAAGGAAGGAAGCGAGGAAGCAAGGAGGGAAGGAAGGAAGCGAGGAAGCAAGGAGGGAAGGAAGGAAGCGATGAAAGAGAGAGGCAAGGGAGCAAGAAAGGAAGGAAGCGAGGAAGCAAGGTGGGAAGCAAGCGAGGAAGGAAAGATGCGAGGAAGGAAAGAAGGAAGGAAGCAAGAAAAGAAGAGGCGAGGAAGAAAGGAAGGTAGGAAGCGAGGAAGGAAAGAAGCAAAGAAGGAAGGAAGCGAGGAAGAAAAGAAGCGAGGGAGGAAGGAAGCCAGGAAGGAAGGAAGCGAGGAAGCAAGGAGGGAAAGAAGCAAGGAAGGGAGGAAGCAAGGAAAGGAGAAAGCAAGGAAGGAAGGATGCGAGGAAGGAAGTAAGCGAGGAAGCAAGGAAGGAAGGAAGCAAGGAAGGAACGAAGCGAGGAAGGAAAGATGCAAGGAAGCGAAGAAGAAAGGAAGTGAGGAAGCAAGGAAGGGAGGAAGCAAGGAAGGGAGGATGCAAGAAAGGAAGGAAGGAAGCAAGGATGGAAGGAAGGAAGGAAGCGAGGAAGGATGCAAGAATGCAAGGAAGCAAGGAAGGGAGGAAGGAAGAAAGCGAGGACGGAAGCGAGGAGGGAAGCAAGGAAGGAAGCAAGTAAGAAAGGAGAGAAGTGAGGAAGGAAGGAAGCTAGGAAGGGAGGAAGCGAAGGAATGAAGTGAGGAAGCAAGGAAGGAATGAAGCAAGGAAACAAATGGAAGGAAGCGAGGAAGGAAGGATGTGAGGAAGCGAGGAAAGAAGCCAGGAAGCAAGGAAGGAAGGAAGCGAAGAAGCAAGTAAGGGAGGAAGCGAGCAAGCAAGTAAGCAACAGAAGATTGATATAGGAATAATATTCATAAACATTATTCTGACTAAATCATTTTAGGTTGACCTAAACGCACGCTTATTCGTGTATCTTACTGAATATCGACTTGTACTCAAAGATGGAACAGAGGGGACAGTTGCAATACAGAGAATATAGAATATTTCCTATGGACTATGGAGTAAGATCACACGATAAAAAACGTTATACAACGATTTGAAGCGTAACATAGGATATATTGTGCTCTCGATATGCTGTATTTCCACTTGATTTCATCTCGTGCCAATACAGAATTTTTTGAGCACAATATATCCTATATTGCACTTCAAATCATTCAATAACTTATATTACTTCAAATTATGAAAATGAGGTTAAATGTTTAACATTTCGTCCGATCTAATACTCATCACATTTCTCAGATGATCTTTCTTATTCTGTAAATGGCATGGAAATATGATACTGCAGTTTTCCATAACAACGTATCATAATATGAACTATATTAAACAGTTGTGTTTGCTGTTATTGAGAATTGTATTGACAAATAATGTATTCATCAAACTGGGTACAATAGTGGATCAAGGTGGGTACGAAAGTGGGAGATTTTCAGGGTATAATCGGGATTCACTCCATTTTTGAGAGACACTTGCTCCTGTTTTCAGCAGGACCTCCTCATGTTTTCAGCGGGGCCTCCTCCTGATTTCAGCGGGATCTTTGCTTAATTGCTCCTGCTAGAAGCGGGGCCTTGAGGGATATGATAAAATTTAAATATAAAATGTTCTGTAAAGCTTTAGAGAGTGAAACTCGGTACATCTTTATTTCATATCACTATCGTTATTTCAACCACAGGACAACATCGTTCTTCACCAATAACGTATAGAAATATATAGATAAAGATTCAAAATGATACTTTCTCTCTTCAATTGACAAATAACGAACCACAGAACGATCGCTCGTGATACATTTTTTCCAGCAGATGCTTTTTAGTCTCAATACCATGTAATCATTGGGAAAAATTAAAAGAAAACGTTTTGTAAATCATACAATTCAAGAACACAAAAAAGAACCCATGACTTATTTTTATTCCTCGCGATTTCAGCGGGAACTTGCTCGCGACTTTTAAATCATAGCGGGGCTTTAGATACTACCCGTGACTAACCTATAGAGCATCAGTCTACATGTGTTTTTAAATTGTTAGCCAATCAAATTTCAAGGTTATTTAGCTAGTCAGAGAGCTGACCAATAGCATCCTAGTTTAACAGTAGGTGTTGAGTTAGTGTGAAAGTTTCAAGTTTGGAACTGACAAGGGAACAAGATCTTTGAAACAAGAAATAATGCATTGTGATACAGTTTTGGATTAAGTTTGAGATGATAGGAATTGCCTGCTAGTAAAGAGAAACATCAATGGACCGCTAAGATGGGTGACCGATCTGGATATGCTTATGTAGAACTGATATAAAAAAGACTTTGGTTGCAGATTTACCATATTATCGTGTGGGATGAATATATGTCAGCGTATAGCGGACAATTGCTGAATTCCTGTGAACTATTTTAATTACCACAAGACTTTCGTAACAAATTCGTAAAGCTGTTTAAGGAGACGCAAGATTCGTGTATTCCAGACCGTGTGAACGTGCAGGGACACAGACCACACCCACTCATGGCAGCATCTCAAGCAGGGTTTCGCTATTAAGTATTCTTATTGTTCTAGCTAAGTGATGTTCTGTTGGTGATCTGATCTTTGGTTTAGTTTGTTTTTCTACCTTGTTCAGTTTGATCAAAGATGACTATTATTGCTAAGCGTTCCATTGGGTTAAGTTGTCAGCGGTCACTGTAGGTACGTTATGGTGCTGTTATGATATAGATTGTGTCATTGTATGTTAGGTAGAGATGGATTAGGGAAGGATGGATAAGTGAGTTGTTTTAAATCAAGAGTAAGTTGAATAAGATCGGTCCTGCTGTGAGAAACAGATTCTTATTCGTAACTTCGGGACACTCTTTGATTATGTAAATATTCATTTATATATATATCATCTTTTATATTATATCTTACATATTAGATTTATATCATCATTAAACTTTATAATCTAATTTCTTTGTCTGTTGTTTTGCATAGAGTGGTCAATTTGATCTAAGGTTGATTTTCAGCAGATTGTTTCAACTTTACTAAAGCCTTCATATTTAAGGGGCCATATCATAAGATAAATCTATATAATCTGTTGAGAATACTTAGGGGCAAGTTGTGTTTAAGTTTCAATTTCAATCATTTTATATTGCAATCACCCCCTTCCACAGTAAGCACTATTTTGATCCAGTTTGTCATTTAAAGGTGGCAATACCTTCCAGTGTCATATTATTCCAAATTTCCCTTAATGACCAAGTGAATAATTTAATGATCTCAATTTAAGACCAAGTTAAAGTTTAGTTTCATAATATTCCCGGCCCTAGCCACGCTACCACGTATTTGTTCAGAGAGAGGATCCGGGTTTTATTACAATCCCATTCATTGATAATTATGAAGACAAAAATATTTCAATCATTTTGTATTACATTTTAGTGAAAACCTTAAATCCTGACTTCCTGTAGACATCATGAAATATTATTAATGGGTCCTCAAATTTTCTTAATTTCATATGATATCAGCACTCATTTTTCATTTTTTATTTTCTCCCCGAACATGAAACTGCCCATTTGTTATTTTGTGTTATTGGCTTGGGCCTCTTTTGCATCGGCAGCAGATATTGCCAACATTCTGCTCAAATATATACCATTGAAAAATTGAAGTCGATCTCGATATTACTTCATAATAAATTCCTGCAACTGGCTACGCAAGACAAACATCTCGTTACGGCGAACGCCTGGAGCTGAGCAACGAGAGCCGGACCATAATTTGATAGGACCTCATACCCTTTTACACCGGTCACAAACACGAAGGCTCATAATTAACCACATTTTAACAAATACTAACCCGAACATATAATTTGGGATAACTTTGTGGAACTTAATCACATCTTCTCCCACATCCCAGAAATCTATAGGGGTCGTTTCAAGAGTCTTGTATTCCTCCGGGCTCCTCTCCTTTGTAAGCTGGGCGACGTAGAAACCATCGCTGAAATCGTTCTCTCCTCCTTCACCCTCATATTGTTCTATGCAGTGGAGCATCTGAATCTGAAAACATTGAACTTTTGAATCAATTCTTGCATTCGTATGCAACGTATGGATTTCGTTATGCTTGATATATCATTGGAAAGATGTTTCCGTGTAGAATATAAAATTAGCAATAGCTGTGTAACAGCTCCGGTCTTAATCCCGAAACTGCCACGTACGGGCTGCCCAATCAATCAATTAACCAATCCTACAACAAAGCAACCCGTACAAACAAACAAACAAACTGGACCGAACGAGCAAACAAATGGTAGCGTGGTAAGCTGACCGGTCAAAGCACGTAGTGAATCGGATTTGAGCTGAAAGAGATTGATTGCTTGACTATCTGTAAAGTGCTGCCATCTATGAATAGACACAAAAGTTGGAAACACTAATTGAACAAATATGAATGAAGTTAGGAAGATATCAGAAGTTAATTATAGGGCCATTTTACTGTTATTCCATCTAAACCATCAATCAATGACTACAAACAATCAACACAACAAATCAAGTAAAGTTTTAAAGTTTAATTGTAAATAAATAATGAGATTTGGTTTTACATCAGTTTTATCTATCAAATGAAATCATAGGAAATTACATGGCAGAAAGATTACAAATGACTTAAGTAAGATGGCGGCTATATGAGCGCTTACAATTAAAACAACATCGAGCTTTAAGTAAAGCGATAGTCAAAAGGTGGCGCTGTGAAAAATCTCACCTGCGCGCTGAGCATATCAAAACTAGGCCAGATCTTCCAGCCAAAAATTACATAATTCTCTCAAAGAAAATCAATCACAGTAGATCAACTGTTACAAATAACCCAATCAAATCCAATGTCAAACTCAGATGACTCTCAAAAGTCAAAGACAAAATAAACTGAAAATGATTCACAATATTTCTACAAGTATGCTCAGCACTGCAGTGGAGTTCAAATATAAAAATACAACCTCAATCTTGCGGCCACTCTCTCCATCTCCCTGGCTGCCATGACGATTGATCAGGCCCGATCAAGTGTCGAAAAACGAATCTAAAACATCGCAATTTAAATCAAAACTTCCTCGTGGGGAAAAATATGGCGCCAACTCTCTTCTCGCGAAACTTCTCGCGAGATAAACCCTTACAAAAAGTAGTTACCTCACAAAATGCTTTACATTAAAAAACCCTTGCAAAATAGTTGTCCCGATACAAAAACTATATAGCTCAAACAACTATTACCCTGACCCTGCAGCGGAAGTATTCGCGCTCTGGAGCGGAAGGGAAGTAGCGAGACTGGGAATAAGGTTGGCATTTGCAAGGGTAGCCAACCCAGGGTCGCTACAGCTGTAATATATTTGTATGCAAAAGTTCATACCCGGTCAGTTTGGTCATTTCTGAGTTTCAAGAATTGACTGGGATATTATTATGTGTGCTTCACATAATGCAAGGGAAATTGATCCATTTAGATCTGATGAGCGGATTTAGAGAGTTGAGGACGGATCACATTCTATTGTTAAGGAACCCATGTGTATGCATAACATTTTCATACTCCGTTATCTAAACTTTCTTTGACAAGTTGTACACGTTTACCCAGGTTGCACCGTTTAGAATATGTAATCTTATCTGGTCACGACGTTATGTTTTTCCCTGCTGTTTACAATTCGGTATGTAGGTACACTTCACTTATAATTCATTAGGAAAATGGCATTACCCCTGGGCCGTAGTGGTAATACGCCAAATCTGTGTGTAAGCCCAGTTTTAGCCCGGTAAAGGCTAAATTGTTTGCATCTTGTTTACACTGAACAGTGAATGTCTCCCTGAAAACAAATGCATTTAACTCCAAGCAACTACTTCCAATAAACTCTGTGATTTTGGAAACAGGTGAGAATGCGTAGGGCAGATACCCTGCGCGCAGTCGAACGAATGCAAAGGGTATAGGTCAGATGGACGTTTTTGTAAAGTGTGAAATCGAGGCTAACAGTTTCTTTTTCTTTACTCGTAGTCGATGGGCAAAATCAGGTCACAAAATCAATATTGTGTAATATTTTTACTCGACCCCTGGGTTCGGAAAAAACGTTGATTTTTATTTTGTCAAAAATGTCCATAACTTTTATCAAATATTTATATTTCTGACATTTTCTCTTTGATAGAGATATACAGCGGCAATACGCTTTGTTGAGATGAACATAAACAAATATACCATACCACACACCATTAGGTCTGCTTACCCATAATGAGTATTCTTTAGATATGCCACTCGTTCACCCATCTTTTTGACTTGTCCAGTTTCTCTTGCAGCATTCCTTAGCAAGACAAAACCATATTCTTCAAGGTTTTTCATCCATTTGTAAAATTCTTTGTCATCCTTCTGCACCTGTAATGTAAAACAGTATATTGAAACATGTGCGAGAATTGAAGCTATTTGGAAAATCCGGATTATAAATAGTGTAACAAAATTTTTATTTTAAATATTTTTTGATTTAAGTGCTTCACAGTTGAGATTATTAAGATCTTTAATTGTAGTATCGATTAAAGCACTTTATTTGTACTTACAGAGGTGTTAGCAACTTTTTATTTCATCGAGTTCAGATTTAGTTAATGTTGATCGGGTAGTTTTACCAGTGACTATGGTTACGGTTGATCGAGAACTCTTGACTATCATTTTACAGAAATTATCACTTCCTGCTTTCAATTCGATCAAATCGAAGCGTAATTAGACTAGATAGCGATCATTTATGGTTATATTTATTGAGTTTATACTATAATCTTGTTGATTATGTACCAAACATGTATTGATATTGGGTGTAAAAGCCGAGATCGTGATTTGTAAGTGAAGCCAGTTATTTTTACGAAACTAATATCCTGATTCAGTGATTACATCCGGTGACGAGGTATTGCATCAGCCATTCACGTGATCATACTACATGTTCCATACATGACAGGGGTATAAATACAGAGTGAACATACAACAAGCCAGACACGTAGGCAACTTTTGATTGGAACACATCTCCCGTGCCAGTGTTTCATTTGGGAATTGATGAGAAACTTAGAAGATTTGCTGGATCGAGGAACTTTGTCATTTCCAGACATAGTCTAGATAACTCCAGCCTGATTGAAGGAATACAGCTGGACCGAGAAACTTTGTCAATTCCAGGCATAGTTTAGAATATTCCAGCCCGTTTGATGAAATACAGCTGAACCGAGAAACTTTGTCATTTCCAGGCAAAGTTTTAGAATATTTCAGCCCGATTGAAGAATTACCGCTGGACCGAGGAACTTTGTCATTTCCAGGTATAGTTTAGAATATTCCAGCCCGTTTGATGAAATACTGCTGAACCGAGAAACTTTGTCATTTCCAGGCAAAGTTTTAGAATATTTCAGCCCGATTGAAGGATTACTGCTGGACCGAGAAACTCTTGTCATTACCAGACTTAGTTTACAGTATTCCAGCCTGATTGAGAAGGAGTGCTATTAACTTGTATTTTCAGGTGTTATTAAGTAACTTATCTTTTTCTATTGTTAACTTGAGAAACTTTGCCATTTTTGAGGTTGAGAAACTTACATTATTATTTTCATAATTTAGTTAACTTGAGAAACTTAGCCATTTTTAGATTAATTATATGTCATCAATTTGCTGACTGAAGTAATACTGCTGGATTGAGAAACTTTGTCATTTCCCGACATAGTTTATACAATGTTCCAGCCTGACTGAAGTAATACTGCTGGACTGAGGAACTTTGCCATTCCCAGACAAAGTTCATACTATTCCAGCCTGTTTGAAGAACTGCTGGATTGAGAAACTCTGTCATTTCCCGACATAGTTTATACAATATTCCAGCCTGACGGAAGAAATACAGCTGGATTGAGGAACTTTGCCATTTCCAGAAAAAGTTCATAATATTCCAGCCTGATTGAGGAACTTTGCTGGATTGAGAAACTCTGTCATTTCCCGACATAGTTGATACAATTCCAGCCTGTTTGAAGGACTCTGCTGGATTGAGGAATATTACAGCCTGATTGAAGAACTTTGCAATATTCCAACCTGACTGAAGAAATACAGCTGGACTGAGAAACTCTGTCATTTCCCGACATAGTTGATACAACTCCAGCCTGTTTGAAGGACTCTGCTGGATTGAGGAATATTCCAGCCTGATTGAGGAAATACAGCTAGACTGAGAAACTCTGTCATTTCCCGACATAGTTTATACAATATTCCAGCCTGATTGAAGAAATACTGCTGGACTGAGGAACTTTGCCATTTCCAGACAAAGTTCATAATATTCCAGCCTGTTAGAGGAACTTTGCTGGATTGAGAAACTTTGTCATTTCCTGACATAGTTTATACAATATTCCAGCCTGACTGAAGAAATACTGCTGGACTGAGGAACTTTGCCATTTCCAGACAAAGTTCATAATATTCCAGCCTGATTGAGGAACTTTGCTGGATTGAGAAACTCTGTCATTTCCCGACATAGTTTATACAATATTCCAGCCTGACTGAAGAAATACAGCTGGACTGAAAAACTCTGTCATTTCCCGACATAGATTATACAATATTCCAGCCTGACTGAAGTGAGAATAAGTACCAGAAACTTAGCTCATTTGGAGGAGCTGTTGAGGAACTTGGAATATTTTCACTCAACCTGGATGACTTAATGGAAACTAAGTACGAGACACTTAGTTTATTTAGGAGCTACTGGGAATCTTAGGCAGATTCCACATATTGAGGAACTTAAAGGATCTTCATCGATTTAGGAGCTACTGGGAATCTTAGGCAGATTCCACATATTGAAGAACTTAGAGGATCTTCATCGATTTAGGAGCTACTGGGAATCTTAGGCAGATTCCACACATTGAAGAACTTAGAGGATCTTCATCGATTTAGGAGCTACTGGGAATCTTAGGCAGATTCCACATATTGAAGAACTTAGAGGATCTTCATCGATTTAGGAGCTACTGGGAATCTTAGGCAGATTCCACATATTGAGGAACTTAAAGGATCTTCATCGATTTAGGAGCTACTGGGAATCTTAGGCAGATTCCACATATTGAGGAACTTAAAGGATCTTCATCGATTTAGGAGCTACTGGGAATCTTAGGCAGATTCCACATATTGAGGAACTTGGAGGATCTTCATCGATTTAGGAGCTACTGGGAATCTTAGGCAGATTCCACATATTGAGGAACTTAAAGGATCTTCATCGATTTAGGAGCTACTGGGAATCTTAGGCAGATTCCACACATTGAAGAACTTAAAGGATCTTCATCGATTTAGGAGCTACTGGGAATCTTAGGCAGATTCCACATATTGAGGAACTTAAAGGATCTTCATCGATTTAGGAGCTACTGGGAATCTTAGGTAGATTCCACATATTGAGGAACTTAAAGGATCTTCATCGATTTAGGAGCTACTGGGAATCTTAGGCAGATTCCACATATTGAGGAACTTAAAGGATCTTCATCGATTTAGGAGCTACTGGGAATCTTAGGCAGATTCCACATATTGAGGAACTTAAAGGATCTTCATCGATTTAGGAGCTACTGGGAATCTTAGGCAGATTCCACATATTGAGGAACTTAGAGGATCTTCATCGATTTAGGAGCTACTGGGAATCTTAGGCAGATTCCACATATTGAGGAACTTAAAGGATCTTCATCGATTTAGGAACTACTGGGAATCTTAGACAGATTCCACATATTGAGGAACTTAGAGGATCTTCATCGATGTTGCCTGTTGGGGACGTTGAATAGTGTCACCCCTGACCTGGATGACTTTGATGGAAACTAAGTACGAGACACTTAGTTTATTTGGGAGCTACCAGGGATCTTAGGTAGATTCCACTTGTTGAGGAACTAAGTACGAGACACTTAGTTTATTTAGGAGCTACTGGGAATCTTAGGCAGATTCCACATATTGAAGAACTTAAAGGATCTTCATCGATTTAGGAGCTACTGGGAATCTTAGGCAGATTCCACATATTGAAGAACTTAAAGGATCTTCATCGATTTAGGAGCTACTGGGAATCTTAGGCAGATTCCACATATTGAGGAACTTAAAGGATCTTCATCGATTTAGCAGCTACTGGGAATCTTAGGCAGATTCCACATATTGAGGAACTTACAGGATCTTCATCGATTAAGGAGCTACTGGGAATCTTAGGCAGATTCCACATATTGAAGAACTTAAAGGATCTTCATCGATTTAGGAGCTACTGGGAATCTTAGGCAGATTCCACATATTGAAGAACTTAAAGGATCTTCATCGATTTAGGAGCTACCGGGAATCTTAGGCAGATTCCACATATTGAGGAACTTAAAGGATCTTCATCGATTTAGGAACTACAGGGAATCTTAGGCAGATTCCACATACTGAGGAACTTAAAGGATCTTCATCGATTTAGGAGCTACTGGGAATCTTAGGCAGATTCCACATATTGAAGAACTTAAAGGATCTTCATCGATTTAGGAGCTACTGGGAATCTTAGGCAGATTCCACATATTGAAGAACTTAAAGGATCTTCATCGATTTAGGAGCTACTGGGAATCTTAGGCAGATTCCACATATTGAGGAACTTAAAGGATCTTCATCGATTTAGGAACTACAGGGAATCTTAGGCAGATTCCACATACTGAGGAACTTAAAGGATCTTCATCGATTTAGGAGCTACTGGGAATCTTAGGCAGATTCCACATATTGAGGAACTTAAAGGATCTTCATCGATTTAGGAGCTACTGGGAATCTTAGGCAGATTCCACATATTGAGGAACTTAGAGGATCTTCATCGATTTAGGAGCTACTGGGAATCTTAGGCAGATTCCACATATTGTGGAACTTAAAGGATCTTCATCGATTTAGGAGCTACTGGGAATCTTAGGCAGATTCCACATATTGAGGAACTTGAGGAACTTAGAGGATCTTCATCGATGTTGCCTGTTGGGGACGTTGAATAGTGTCACCCCCGACCTGGATGACTTTGATGGAAACTGAGTACGAGACACTTAGTTTATTTGGGAACTACTGGGAATCTTGGGTAGATTCCACATATTGAGGAACTTAAAGGATCTTCATCGATTTAGGAGCTACTGGGAATCTTAGGTAGATTCCACATATTGAGGAACTTAGAGGATCGTCATCGATGTTGCCTGTTGGGGACGTTGAATAGTGTCACCCCCGACCTGGATGACTTTGATGGAAACTAAGTACGAGACACTTAGTTTATTTGGGAACTACTGGGAATCTTGGGTAGATTCCACATACTGAGGAACTTTGCCATTTCCAGACTTAGTTTAGACAACTCCAGCCTGATTGAGGAACTAAGTTGATTCCAGACTTAGTTATTTTATTTCAGGCCAGCTTGAGATTTGCCTTCATTG